TCTCAGAGTCAGCCACAGTTTGTTATGATCCACACAGTCAAACACCTTTGCATAATCAATGAAACACAGATAGACATTCTTCTGGTATTCCCTGTTTTCAGCTGTAATCACTTGTTGTGCATCTGAGAGTTGGATAATGACTAAGGAGGATAGAAGGAGAATTGATGCCTTTGAGCTATGTTGCTGGAAAAGAGTATTGAGTGTTACCATGGATTGCTAAGTAAAGAAACAGATTCATCCTGGAAAGGGTTAAACCAGGCTGCTTCTTGGAGGCAAGGATTCTGAGACTTCATCTGACATACTTTGGACATGTTGTAAGGAGGGACCTGGAGAAGGACATCATGCTTGGTAGGGTGCAGGGATAGCACAGGAGGGGAAGACCCTCTATGAGGTGCATTGATTCAGTGACTGGGGTAAACGGGATTGGTGTTGGTGGCATTATGATTGGCACAAAATAGAACAGGGTTTAGGGCTTTCATATGTATGGTTGCTATGAGTCACAAATGACTCGACAGCACATAACAACAACATATTCCAAACAGTGGAAGAACAGGGTTATACGGAATTTCTGTGTTCAGCTTTTTGAGGAAACACCAACTGCTTTCCAGAGTAGTTGTACCATTTTATAATCTCTCCAGCAATGTATAAGGTTCTTATCTTGTCACATCTCTAATATATATTACTTGCTTTCCTGTTAAATATTGCTTCTCCTACTAGGGTGATATGGCATTTCATTGTGGTTGGTTTTGAACTGCATCTCTCTTATTTCTAGTGATTTAGAGCATTTCTTTATCTGGAAATGGCAACCTCTTCAAGAAATAGTGCTTCCAAAACTGGACTACTACCTGCAGAAAGCTGAAACAGGATCTACACCTCATACCACACAAAAAAAAATTAACTTAAGGTGGATCAGAGACCTGAGAGTAAAGCCCCAACACATAAAGTTCATAAGATAAACTGGGATCAAGCTTAGATAACCTAGTCTATGAAATAAAGAGACTGCCAAATACAGCCAGAAATGTGCAATTTGTTGTTGATAGGCTTCAAGTTGAGCACCACTCATAGCGACCCTTTGAACCAAAGGCTTAAAGGCCCTCTACAACTATAGACAGTTATCAAAGTTCTTAGAGTTTCTGGAGGCATGATGTTTAGGAAGTGGATGCCACTCCTGATTCACTCCAGAGCAGCTCTGGTGGCCTCGTGGCAACAAGCTGCACTGCAATCCTGAAGGCTCTCAGAATGAAGCCACCACCTTCTCCAAGGGAGAAGAATAGGCAATCTGCTCCCATGTGATAATTATGCTGAGTGAAATATCTCAATCACAAAAG